ATATATATATATATATATATTATAACGCTATTGCGTTCGGTGCGTAATATTTTCTTTTTGGAAAGGAAATCGTCTCAATTAAAGTATTGTGTAAAAAAATATTATGTTTAAAAGTGGCTGGGACATGAGAATATTGAATATAGTTCATGGGCGTCAAATAAAAAGTTTGCAGTGGTGTATCATGGCGGAAGGGGTGTAGCAAATATTGGGATTCTTTTAAATGTGCGTTACTTGAGTTCATGTTTTGTCAAGTAACTTTAGTATACGAGAACTTATTTTTTATTTAATTTTTATATTTTGTGACGTATTGCGGGAAAGGGGATATGACGTATTATTATTGTGTTGTGTGGTATTGTGAGTAATGGCAGCTCAAGATGTGGGTTAGTTGTGTAATAAAGAAATTTTATTGTAAGAAAATATAGTTTGTGAAGTGAACCACCTGTTGGTCTCGAGACATGCGCACTGCGGTGGAGCTAACGCCCCTCCCCCCTTTTTTTCCTGCTTTCCCCTTTTCTTTGCAATCATGGCCACCGCATAAATATATATTTAATTTTTTTTAATTATATATATATATATATATATATATAGATAGATAGATAGATAGATAGATAGATAGATAGATAGAAAGATAGATAGATAGATAGATAGATAGATAGATAGATAGATAGATAGATAGATAGATAGATAGATAGATAGATAGATAGATAGATAGATAGATAGATAGATAGATAGATAGATAGATAGATAGATAGATAGATAGATAGATAGATAGATAGATAGATAGATAGATAGATAGATAGATAGACAGACGGAGGGAGAGACAGACAGAATGCTTCCTTGAATAGTTGCTCAAAAGTTATCTTTTATTCGGTAAATTTTGGATGGAGGGATGGAGAGATGGATAGTTCATGGGCCTGAAAATAAAATGTGTGCAGTGACTTATCATGTGTGTTTGGGGGAGGGGGTGTTGTAGCGAAAATTAAGAGTCTTAGATGAGCGCTTTCTTAGTTCGTGTTTTGTCAAGTAACTCATGCAGATGGGAAGCTCACGCATCGCTGTCCCCAATGTTTGGCGGGATATATCTAGTTTTTAATATTCTTATTAAAAAATGAACTCTGTTTACGAGACGATGATATTTTGTATCGCCTCAGATCCAAACCGTATGTTTTACCTATTTGAATCTAATGGATTGTTCTTCAGTGACTCCCTTATTGTACTTGATTTTAATTGTTGGCTTTTTTGTGCTTGGCGTTTGGTGGTTACACCACTGAAGTCAACATTGTGTAAAAATAGATAAATTTTATATGAACAATATGTTAGTTATTTTGTAAACGGCTGTCTTATTTAATACGTGTGTAATGTTGTTTTTTTTGGTGATATATTTTAAAGCTTTTTTACAACGCACTTTCCTGTTGAGAAGATCTCAGTAACATATTATTATATGTCCATGATGTAAATTATACTTGCAAAAAAAAAAAGAGTTCGTGTAATAAGGCATTAATAGTATCTAGAAAACACCAAGATACTTCCAATATGTTTTTGGATATTCCTCCGTATTTTGACATTTTAAATTTCCCATTTTGTACATCAGATATAACATCCTACCGAGATAAATACATTTCCTTTTATAAATATTTTTACAATGTAAAAAAAAATAATTTTTATTTAGACATTTCATTACATTCAACTAGAATCTGTGCATTTCTATAATTTCGTAAAGTTTTTGAATCCCTTGACTATTTCATTAAGGACACATTTTACAGTCAAATATTGATTATTCATTAGAAAAGTAAATTTTTAAAAAATGTCATGAAAGCCACAAAATAAACATATGAATTATATGTAAAGCTAGATGATAATTTCACGATATTATAGCTTCAATGCCACTTGGTGTAAAGCTGCGTAGATTTTCTTCTCGTATCTGTAATAATTGATGCCATGAATTTTTAAAATTACACTTAAAACAAATAAATAAACCCCAAAATTAAGGAGTCTGTGTTCAAATGTGAGATGTGCAACTTAAAAGTCTACGTAAGGGATTTGAATGTATGTTTATTAAAAACAAAATCTTTTTACAATTAGTACAATAAATAAATACATGTTTTAAAAAAAATGGTGTACTAATGTTTCTATTTGTTCTATGCCTTTTTTTTGCTGCTGAGAATATAATACAATTGTTGAGGATACAATGTATTTATTTTTTTAAAATCACATTATAACAAAGAAATTAAAGGTGCGTAGAATAATGAAATACTATAGAAATTTCCTGCAGACCAACCATTCAATAAAGAGAAATGACCTCGCAATGCTGAAATTTTTAACTACGATTTATAATGGAAAATTATCCAGATCTATCATACAGATTTTGATCAAGTTGACTTATTTGTAAACACATTCTCATATAAAATAGACGCTTATATATTGTGCACTATTATGAAACGTACTAAGAATGAGTCACTGCCGTTATCAATAAGTTTTATAAAAAAAAGTTATTGGCATCTGTGGGTAAAAATATGTCCGTCACAAATATGCGTCGCTACTGTCAGTCACACATGTCTGGTCACAACTGTCCGCCACAAATGTCTGTGACAACTGTTCGTCACAAATGTCTGTCACAAAGGTCTGTCACAAATGTCTGTCACTAATGTCCGTCACAAATGTCCGTCACAAATGTCCGTCACAAATGTCCGTCACAAATGTCCGTCACAAATGTCCGTCACAAATGTCCGTCACAAATGTCTGTCACAACTGTCCGTCATAAATGTCTGTCACAAATGTCCGTCACAAATGTCTGACACAAATGTCTGTCACAAATGTCTGTCACGATGTGACTTCAGTTTTAAATTTTTTTTCTTTAGGATTATTTTCTGATTTCCTAGTCATAAAATCTGCTCTCGCCATGCATCTGGTGAACCCAAGGGAGCATCATATTGCTGGGAATCGAGCTCAAATCCACACGAATCGAAAGAGCGCAGTTTAAACCGCACGGCCATCCAGCCATCCAAGAGATAAAAGTGGATCTTCGTCAATTTAACGAAATTATTTTTATTTTTTAAAGTTTTTGGTCATTTAAAATTTTATTATTTTTTTTTTAAAGTTAAAAAATACTTAAATTTAAAAAAAAAAGAAAAAAGAACGAACAAAAAAAAACTTATCCAAAATTGGTTCTAATCTGTCGGGAATGTCATCTATCACGATATGAGGAAAAAGAATTAGATTAGAAAAATAAGGCTCATTGTGGGAATTGTATCCATGAGATCCGAAAGAATGACTAAATAACCATTTGCCATATATAACTGAACACTGGACGCGTTATAAACACAGGAGGGAGGGGGGGGGGGGGGGGAAGGGAGTCAAGAGATGGCAGCAACACGGCCGCACCGTGAATGGGGATGCGAAATTGCTCGAGCCAGAAAAAGAACATACACATTTGAAAAAAAAAAATGGATTATAAGAGTATACATTTAATCTCTCAGGGCATCAATGTGTCGGTTGTTTCTGCTTTTTTGTTTTTGTACCAATCCCACATTAATTAAACAGCCCCTAAAAACTAAGTTTTGTTACCGATTTTAGACAGCATCACACCTTTGGCTTCGGTGTACTTCTGGTTTTGCAGCGCACTTGGAGAGGGAATTTAAGTGTTGCTAACAGAGGCGTCGCTAAAGATGTCGGGGGAGACAGATATCCCTGGGCGCCAGAATAGATAGGGGCCACCAAAATGTGCTTTGATATTATTTTCTTGATGAAAATAATGGGTTTGAGAGTTGATGAAGGAAAGGGAGGCTCTTTAAAATAAATCTTGTCCCTTGGCGACAAACACTCTAGCTACACCCCTGACTGGTATAGAGGATTTCTGTCAGACATCCAGCTCTTTCATTCACCTGATTTTTTTTTTGTTGGTACATGCTGATATGCTGTATATGTGCCGACGACATGATTCTCATTTATGATGCTGGAGTTTATCTAAGAGGTCAAATTAAAAAAAAAAAAAAAGCAACCACGTTTTCAATTGTATATGTGCCGACGACATGATTCTCATTTATGATGCTGGAGTTTATCTAAGAGGTCAAATTAAAAAAAAAAAAAGCTACCACGTTTTCAATACCGAAGCTATAGGAGGTTTGCTTAGTTGGGTGGGGCGCCTTGGCCGGGGGGTGGGGGGGGGGGAGGACTGTTTTGGTTTTTATATTGGGTTTTCGTGTTTATAACTGCTACAACTTGTAACGGAACAGGCGAGCTGAATAAAACTATGAATAAAATAAATTTTAAGTAAATGGGTAGAAATAAATATTTAACTTCTTTTAGCCTAACCCACACACTCCAAAAATACGTTTGAAGGGAATACGCTGTTATGTATGCCTTTAGCAAAGAGGCATTCAACCAAAAAAAGCAAAATACATCATAATCATAAGAGAAGAGCAGAAAGAAAAAGTAACTAAAACTAGAAACGAGAATTTTTAAAAAGTAAATCAATTCAAATGCCTAGGATTTGTATAAAATGACAGAAATGAATAACTAACAGAAGTTAAAAAAAGAATATCAGCAGTAAACATGATATACCATAGTAGTCAGAAAATACTCAAAAGTAAAAACCATACAAGAAAAACAAAGAAAACTATTTATAAAAGTGTGAGCAGACCAGTTGTAACATATGCAAGTGAAACTTGGACCCTTCCAAAAAACAGCAGAAAACCTATTAAACACATGGGAGAGGAAAGTTCTCAGGAAAATATATGGACCACCTAAGGATGAAAATTGATGGAGAATACGAACCAACCGGGAATTGTACAGTTTATGTCAGCATCCCCACAATAGTCGCAAAAATAAAAAGGGCAGACTACGCAAGGCAGGACACCTAGAGTTAATGACAAATGACAGAGACGTGAAGAGGAGGCATCACCAAAACCCGAGAGGAAAACAGCTCTAAGGCAGACCTAGGCCTAGGTGGATGGATGATGTAGGAAAAAGATCTAAAGTAGCTGGAAATCCAAGCATGGAAAAGAAAAGCATCATTTAAGTCTGAGTGGAAAGAAGAAGTGAGACAGGCTAAAGCCTTACATGGGCTGTAGCGCCACAGGGATGTGATGGATGAGAGGTCTGAGTGGAAGGAAGTAGTGAGACAGGCTAAAGCTTTACATGGGCTGTAGCGCCACAGGGATGGGATGGATGAGAGGTCTGAGTGGAAGGAAGTAGTGAGACAGGCTAAAGCCTTACATGGGCTGTAGCGCTACAGGGATGTGATGGATGAGAGGTCTGAGTGGAAGGAAGTAGTGAGACAGGCTAAAGCCTTACATGGGCTGTAGCGCCACAGGGATGGGATGGATGAGAGGTCTGAGTGGAAGGAAGTAGTGAGGCTACATGGGCTGTTGCGCCACAGGGATTGAATGGTTGGTTTAAGTTTGGAATTTTGGTAACGTTGTAAATCTCTAACGGTAAGGCAACATAACTTTTGAATCAGACATAAGACACTTTTCATGATTCAGGATTTTCTTTAGAATATAAGACAGCAAAAATGTTCCTAAACATTTAAGATAAATATGTCGAACATTCCTGGTAAAACCGTTGAATATTTCTGGATCATTTTGTTACGTTTCAACACATCATTGATGTGGATTATGTAAACTCAAGTGGATCATTTTTTAATTGACTATATAAACTTTGGTGTTGCCCATTTCATTGGTAAAGTAAAATGTGGTGGGTTAGATTTAACTTCACAAAGTAATATCGTGAGGACTTTGTGACATGTAATATGAGCCAGGTGGAGATCAGATGTCAAGAAGGGGGCTCAAAGTGATGAAGCCAGTAGAGGAGCCACAGCTGAGACATGCAAGCTATCCCAAAAAGCAACATGAGATCACCGAATACATCAACTGTCCCCTGCCAGTGGTGCCAGAGACTACTCCGAGCACGGATCGGATTAGCAGGCCACCTACGAACTCATCGTGACAGACCCCCTCCCCCAACCGGACGACTAGATGGTCCTAGTCGATCTTGACGGACGAACAACAACAATATGAGCCACACAGAAACTGACATGGCCAGAGAGCATATTAAAATCTCACCAATCGTATCCTTCCATGCCTCTCTCTCTAAATGATGATGCTAAATAGATTAGGGAAGAGATTAAAGCTATCTAACCATGAAGCGACTATAAATATGCATTTACTCAATTTATCAACCCATCTTTGAATGTTGCGTGTCTGGTGCATGGCCATTGGACTGTGTGTTTGTGTTTATCGTGTTTTTTCCCCCTTTCAAAGTTCAACGCCGTCGTCCACACGAAAGGCTCTCACTGTCAAAAGCATCTCTAAGAAATCTATTTTGATATTTATAAACAAACTCTCAGCCTAGGGATCCGGTAATTTATCACAGAAATAGCTCAATTATGTGACGCATTCCAGCTATCATTGAGGTGAATACGACCTACCTGCCATTTATAAAATAATACACCTGGGTGGGGATATTTACCCGCGCTCTGCATACAAATAAATAGAGGAAGTTAACACGGAAAACAGCACTTCCATTACCTTGGTGTTGCAAAAAGTGTGTGGTGAAAGCCAACGGTGAATTTACTTCTGTCGGGAAATACGTAAATTAGACAAGGAAGCGTCTCTTTGTTCGTTTGTTTTTTTTGTTGTTGTTTTTTTTAATTGGCTAAAACGAAATCGAAAATCTATTTTCCCCAGAAATGAACGTATGGATTGGAATGTGTTTGTCCGGAACTTTTCTGTATATAAAGAGCTGTTCGATACCGGTCATAGTAAACAGCTCAAGTTGAACTTGGATTGCTCAGGTCAGAGCTCGTACTATTTATTAAAATAATAATAATAAGGCCAGAGGTGTTTATTAAGCAAGACAGACAAAAAAAAGTTTAATATAAATCTTCAAAGTTTTAAAATGTTTCTAACATTAAAATCTCATAAATGTTACGTTTTAAATATGTATATGTATATGGTTTAGATGTATATATAAAAACACACAAAAGCATCAAATAAAAAAAAAATCAAGTTAAAATTTTGATAACTTGCGAGATATTTTAACAGTTCCAAGTAAAGATCTACTAGAAATTGCAGACACAGATCGATATGTGTAATGTCTAAACGTCGATTTAAGTCAGGGAAACGTCCTGTCATAGTTTAATTCATTACTTATACATTCCTTTAACCGAATCGGGTGTTCTTCTTACAGAGTACTCTCTCTTTGTTTAAACGAGTAGCCAGCCAATAGTTAACAAGCATGGATTTCAGATTTCTGGCAGCGCTCTGCTCTATGTTCACGGTAAGTGAGATTTTTTTTTGTTTTTTTTTTTTTTTTTTTTTCTTTAATTGTGTTTTTTTTTTTTTTTTTTTTTTTTTTTTTAAAAATAAATGGAAGTATTTTTCTTTAAAAGTTGCGCCTGATATTTCAATTGGTGGAATCTTAACATATCAAGCTGATTCTGACTATGTTTGTATATATTTTTGTAATTTAGTTTAATACTTTATATAATTTTTTAAAATGTTTTTAAAAATGGAACACGACCATATTTGACATGGTAATACCTTCCTTACCTACACGTTGTTCCTGTACATTTTGGTGATAGTCCCTTTAAGACCAAAGCTGTAATTTAAAAAAAAAAAAGTTAAAGGTACAGAGTAAAAAGTTGTTAAAATGTTACTCCCAAATTGCTTGAAAATGACCCCTTTTTAAGTTTGTTCCGGGTAAATTTTTATGTTGCACGCATTTATAGAAATCCTTTAATCAGAAAGGTACTATTTAATTAATATAGTTGGTTTTTTTTTTTTTTGGTGCGCTTTAAAGATACAATAAAGGTCATTTTTTCAAATTTTGGTAGCCCTATATCAACGAAATACAAGACAATACAATATGATGATTTAAAAAAAAAAATCTATTTCACTGTCGGGGTGAAGAGATCGTGGGACACTAGATAAGATTTTGTTTAATTTTCAAGGCGTGAGAAAATGAGAAAAGGGGTTTTTTTTTTTTTTTAGTGCGATTTAAAGAAAAAATAAAGGTAATTTTTTAAAATTTTGGTAGCCCTAAATCAACGAAATACAAGACAATACAATATGATGATTTAAAAAAAAAAATCTATTTCACTGTCGTGGTGAAGAGATCGTGGGACACTAGATAAGATTTTGTTTAATTTTCAAGGCGTGAGAAAATGAGAAAAGGGGTGCCACTGCGTACGCAGGGTGCCAAGGGAAGAAACTGATCTATTGCACTTTTAGTCATGTTTACAACCAATAGGTTATACTTTGACTTACCATAAAGTTAAGCGTTGAAACGGGATCCTCTTGATGAAAAATGGAGTCAGCGACGTAACTTGGGGGTGGGGGGGATGAGCGAAATGGGGTCGACCACCCCGGATGGCCCTTGAAGTTTTTTTAAGTTACCAACGATTTATTAAAGATTTTTTTGGGGTTGGGGGCGCAATGCGATGAGCTCAAACCGAGTGAGATTTGGAAAAGGCGCTTCATCGGTATGTTTTATGTGTTCCACGCCATTCTATTTAGATTTATTCTTTGTTTACAGTTTTCCAAAGATCATTTGAAATGGTTGTTCTATCAAAGGAATCTCCGTTAAATCAACGAGGTGGTGCAAGGAAATGCACATTAAAACCCATAAAAATCTTATTTATCCGTACGTAAATGGTAATTTTTAATTACTTGTAAGTTTTAAATAATAAACAAAAATAACCCTCAAAAAGAGTTCAGATGTCCGCCGTGTATCTTTCTGATTTCTGGTTTGATATTGATTTACTTTGAAAAGGTGAACATTTCTCAGTATGGCTGTTGTACCACACGCATTTCTATATGAATTCATACTTAGAACAGATACTTCTTTATGTGGATTGATAGTTGTTACCATTCATTATTGAGCTCGTAGGAGACCGAGGTTCCCAAATTATGTGGGTTTTTTTTCTTATAAGAGTTATATAAAAAATACAATGAATAAGATAGAAATAATTTATACTTGTTAAATATGAACTTAAAGATCGTGAGGGTTTTTAACCTTAGAGCCTGGTGTCCAATAAGTTCCTTTTGAATCCATGGCCATAATGTAAGTACCTGTAGTCTTGTACATAAACATAAGTTCTGTGTGAATTCGTGGATGTTTATGCCAAACGTGGCCGGCGTACCTTTTATATTCCATATTGTAATATGGTTGGATTCTAAATTAATGATATCCTAAAACGACAAACTCGTTACAATAATTTTATTTTAATTTAAAAAAAATATCTATACTTCAAGCATTTTTTAAAATCTACTTTAATATAATAAGACAATATTTTTTCAACAAAATTTTGTTCATTGTGAAAAAGTAAAGGCTCTAATTTTTTAAAAACTCTTTTTGTTGCCAGCGATCACAAGAGTTGATATTTATAAGGGAACATCATTTGCAAAATCGGATTTCAATGAGATAAATTTTAAAAGTTACTTAAAAATTTTATCTGTTCGATTTTTATAGAGCACGCATCTTAGGAATAGGTTTGTTCCGTGTATCCCATTCTATTTCAAGTGCTTAACAGCCAAAGTTTTGGCATTGATAAATATTTCATTTCTTTTTTAATAAGACATCCTTTAAACCATATTTAAACTCAAGGCTCGCGGGCAACATCCAGCCCGCCGTAAAATTATATCAGGCCCGCGAGGTCTTGACTTAAGTGCACTTATATCCAAGTCAACGTTATGGTGTTTCCAAGTGCGTACTTTGCTGAAAATCTTAGCCTGCTTCGCGCCGATTTCACACGTAGCTTTAGTGATTTTGAAGCACAGAAATGTAATTTCGAGCAGTTTCGTTACCCATTTTTGATAGACGTGGAAAGAGCATCTGTAAATTTGCAGATGGAGCTAAGGGAGGTGCACTTTAATGGGACACTATAGGCAAAGTACGACACAGTTGGGCCTGCACAGTTGACTATTTTCATTCCTGAAGAATTGCCCCAGCCTAGTCTACATGCGGCTCGAACCATGAACGTGTTTGGTAGCACATACATGTGTGAGCAGCTGTTTCCTGTGATGAAGATTAAGAAAACATCACACAGGAGTCATCTCAATGATGAACACTTGCAGTCCATCATGAGAATCTCAATGACAGAGAACGTTACTCCCAACATAAGCGATATTACTTTCTTTTGTAGCCAAAAAAAATGTGCCAAACATCCAGCTCTGAAAAACTGGCATAAGAACGAATATGGGAATATCAATGGTTTTAATTAATAGAAGAATTTTTTTCTGTTTTCATTAATTTAATTTTTTTTTTTTTAAAAAAAATAATTTTTCTCTTTTTTAATGTTTATCCCCCTAGGCCCCCAACCTTACATTTAATTTTAGTTTTTCCCCCCCCCCCCCGAACGATTGAGTTTGACACCTCTGTTTTAAACTGTAATTTAGACTTTGAATCAATAGCTTTTGACTGGACCAAGCTTGAATATCAAATGAAACGGACTGGGCCCCAATTTCAGTGTATACAAGAGTTATTATCAATCTTGCGTTTTTGTGTGTGTGTGTCTGTTCAATTTAGATTGGAACTTAAGTGTGTCACAATCATGAAACGCGTTAAGCATTTTTTCTTCTTCGAATGCAGACCCGTGAAACTCCGGGTATATTAGCTAGTCAAAAATATATTCTTCGGTCTGTTTGACGTCTGCCATATTTGACACAACTTGAGTGAACCCAACGTTGTCAGCTGTGAGGGAAGCTGGTTGTCAACTCCTACACGTCTTCTTGGATTGATTACATTCGTCAGTTCTTATTCATACGTTGAAGCGTCGTACTATTCTCACTATCAGTTAACAAACTCAACTCCTTTACATAATAACTATAACTTTAATATCTAAGTAAATATAATACACATCCTATCACTTCAAGGTTCCACTCAAGACTGCCCCACGACTACAACATACGTCACAACACTGCATAGACAATACGTCACGACTCAGCATAAAAATACGTCATAAAGACAATGGCGGGAAGAGCGTTCACTAACTATAATAGTCAAGCGCGGGAAAAGCGTTCAACAACTAATGAACATAATATTGAGTCGCAACAATTCCTAATGAACGCTCATACTCGACACTGGTCGCGGGTTAAAAAAAACAACTTAAGGTGTGCTTTTGAAGTACCAAGGGGGCGAAAACTAAAAAATGTAATATCATTCCAATCCTTTTTCATAAAAAAACTTATTCGAGAGAGTAATGATTAATTATTTTCAGGTGGTTACAGTGACCGCAGCTCAGAGAGAAAGGTCACGTGACATTACATGGACAATAGACGAAACGTTCTTTATGTCGAGGGAGCTGCTGGACCGCTACAAGCGCATCATCGTGCAGAACAGGAGTGGTGACGTCATCACCCACTGGAGGGACGGTGGGTTTTGGGTGAACTTCACGAGTTCAAAAAAACGGTTATATCTTAAACCCGGTAAATCGTTTCTGGTTTCAATGTCCTGACTTGGGGTTTCGCTCAGACAAAGGACGTTACCCGTTTTCAACAACGACCATCAAGGGCCATAATGCGAGGCTTATAAATATTTACCACAGAGAATTGGTGGGGTGGGATTTTTAAAGAAAATGTCTCGTATGGGGTGGGGATGGGTTGGAGGAACAAATGAAACCATCAGTGCTCAGAAGGAGTGTTCATATGCTTCTACATTTTAAGTGCCAACGATCAATGTATGGATCATTCTCGCTCCTATGTATGTAGAGGGGATTTGCAATGTTTCTGTGCCTGGTATTTCCTGTCTGCAAGGGCCAATCAGTGAGAGTATCATGAACTGCGGGGTGGCAGGCCTGAGGCGATGGACGCAAATGTGTCAAGTGGTGCCTCAACTGTTCCTTTTGGAGGCGTGTTCCAGTCCCTGATTTTTTATTTTGGCAGGAAGTTGCAGTTCCTGTACTGTGTTCTTGCTTTTATATGTCGTAAATGCCTGTCACCGCAGTATGTGGGAGAGAGGGACGAGTTTCTGTTTAATGCTGGAGCAGTGGACCAGCCTATTATTGATCTTGTTCATGATGGGAGCCTGGATAATCGTTTTCGTTAGTTCAATGGTTACCAGTCGAGTGTTTCGAGCATGCTGCCAACACTAGAGGTGAAATTAGATGAAATTCAATGTCGATATCTCTGAATTTTGTGTAATTAACAAAAAACAAATTCCAGATCTTGTGATTTCTTCCTGCGAAGTCTAAACCATCGTCACATTGTGACGGATGGATGCAAGTAAAAAAAAAAAAAATATTTCAGATAAAATGTAATTCTGTTACTATAATATGACACTTAATGTACAAATGTGTTTTATTATCTAAAGCTGCTGATCGTGCTTAACGTTAGGCAAATAAAACAACCAAGTCTTTTTTAAAAAATTTAAAAAATCTTTCCGTGTCCCTTTAGGCGAGTCGGACGCTCTTGAGGCCAACGTGACGCACACCTGTCCATGGTCGTACGTGAGTGTCACCAACGAGAACAGGACTCCTAGGACTCACCTGGAGGTCAAGTGTCTGACCAAAAGATGCTTATCCTTTTCCGAGAGGGAATTTGTTCCAAATGGTAAGATATTACTTGTTCCCAACTCATATGTCGCAACCCTAAATGGGATTCTGGGTTTCTTCTGTTGGGGGGGGGGGGNTTTAGATAGTTCATATAATAGTTTCACAATACTGAATCTATTTGAGGGTTCAATCTCGTACCGTACTGCAGTCTCTTCGCTTCTATGTCATGGTGTCTCGGCTCAGTTTTCTCCTACAAAAGGGGTTCGCTCCTGTACAAACGTTTTTGAACCTATGAACCTATAAAACCTATGAACCATAGCACGATTTATGTTCTATTTAACATTTTAAAAATTGGACACGTAACATATTAATTTTTATGTCCCCCCCCCCCACCCTCCTTCCAACCAACATTCTTAGAAAAGAATTATTGCTGTTATACTTTCATGGTTTATTTTACAGAACCTACGAATGATTCAATCTTGAACTACTCACTTCTTCTAACTACTACACTGGCTTGCGATTTGAATTAATTTGCCTAAATCTATCACTTATCATAAATTATAAACCTGAGGATAGATTCATTTATTTGTTTTTAAGGAGAGACACTCTAATTTAGTCGGCTCCTTAATTGTCATAGGAATTTCAAGTTTGAAAGGAGAAGAGCATGTCTGCTAAAAAATAGTCAAGCTAATTTCAATTTTGAAGTCATGTTGGTTATTATTATATAAAATAAATGCAATCATAACTTAATTTTCAGTGACAACATGTGCGCATGTGAACCAGCACAATGACATCATTTTTTTTATAATTTGAAATGAAACCAGTTTCACCAAAATACTATGTTATTTCTAGAGTATTCTCTTGTCAAGCTTTGCAATGGTCATGTGTGCACAGTTTCTGCGTATTTACGGATGTCCTTATGCTCCAATTTTCTTATAAATGCTTCTTCAATTAAAAAAAAAATTAATAGTGCTGACAATTTCAATGTTTCTCCCATTCAGGCCGGTTGCTGAAGCCCAAACAAAGGATGACCTACGAGTCTAAGGGTTGCTGCTCCCAGGTTTTTGCCGCCAAATGGGTGAAGGTCCGGCAGTCGATGAAAAATGGAGAGGTGAAGGACGTCAAGCGAATCCTTCCCGTGGCCGTGGCTTGCACCTGCTCTTATGAACCGACCCCAAAACGCAGAAAACATCAATAGATGGAGGATTTTCACTTAGGCATAGAAGAGCAAAAGATGTTGATTTTTTGGTTGTATTTTTTGGTGTGTTTTCATGTTTCCTATATGCCACTTGTTGAATTTCATCAACAGTAAACGATTTAAGTATTTAATATACGCGAATACAAAATGTGGCAAGGACTGTAAACAAATGTATGCTAACATATAACTTGTATCAAAAAAGTTTTTTTTAAAAGTAAAACCGCATCCATTTTGTTTCTGTGCCAACCCACTCACCCCCATGCCTACTCCCCAAGTAAAAATTAAAAAAAATATATATAATGGCCATGGCCTCATACAAATTCACTTATTTAAAAAATCCATGATAACTGCAACTTAATGGGACAACTGCACTAACATGTTTTTTTTTCAAATTAAAAAAATATAATTATGCATTAGTTGTCATTACTTGAGTAAAATCTTAACCAACAAAAACGCATAAAAGCAAAATATTCATTTCATTATTAAAAAAAACAAAACAAAAAAAACACAATAATATTGATATACCTCACGGTATGATCTCACTTTGTCTAAATAATCATAGAAGAAGTAGACTTAAAATTAAATGAAAACCAGCTAAGACAAATCTAAAAAAAAATCATTCGTTATTCGAAATTAAAACCAAATTACATTGTCCTGCAAGACTCCAGTAATTTTTTTTTAATTGACTGATAAAAATAAAGTAATAATAATATAAAAAAAAAATTGGTGTGATTTGGTCAACGACCTTCACACACCGAGAATTGAATTTTAACATTGATTTTTAACATCTGGATGATATGCTCGTGGATAATTAAAATGTGTCGCTATTTAACTTCAGTAACATATCCATGTCCATTTCCACGGAAACCATTGTCTAAATCAGTGTCTCTATTGTGATCTTACATCAAATAACAGCTTTGTACGACATTTTTTTGTGTGCATATAATTTGTAACTATAAAACGTTATGGCTCTCCAGCGATCTACTACCAAGTCACGTGAAGGAAAATGTCCCATCAAATATCTTTATTATCCTGATGTTTAATTTTCTTTACAATTAAACGTTGAATAATCTCATTGACCTGGCATCATGTTAAATATCAGGTAAATCAATTTACAATGGCATTTTTTTTCCTTGTACTTCTAAATGTTGCGAAATAATTTGGTTAAAGTCACTGTCCTTTTAAAGTAATCGATTCTGAGAAATTTGTTGACAAGCTAAGACAAATTCATCACTATAAGATATCTGGGTTTTTTTGTTTGTTTTTTTTTTTTGTTTTTTTTTTGTAAACTGAAGCTTTCGTGCAAAAACAAATTAATTCGCATCCTTTTTTCTTTTTAAACTTTTTTTTTTAAAAATGTAAAATAATAATCGCAACATGTTTGTCCCCTCATTCATTTTTTTTTAAAGTCCTTTTAAATTTAAAAACAAT